GTGGCTAAGGCCTTAACCAATTCACACACCTCCTCGGCAGCCATTCCTGGACTCAAACGCTATCCCCATCCCCTCACCTAGAGTCAGGGCTCTTACCCACTGTGGTCTTAACTCTGCCATGTAATATCACCTTGCTCCTTCTCTTCCCTCCCAGTAACCCCCACATTATTTTTTCGTAATTGGGAAAAGAAAGAAAAAAAAATCAATGTTGAAGCTGCTTCTCCAGGCCATTTCCAACCTTCTAGAAAGATTAAAACAATATTCTAAATTGTTTACAAATAGAAAGTGCTTGAGCCTTAAAGCTAAGTACTAAAGAATTAAGTGCACAGGTTTGGAGGCAAAACTAAGCTTTGTTCTTGAAACTCAGATTGTTTCTGGAGCAGTGGTTGGGTTGGAAAATTTAACAGGTTGGGATCAGTGGATTTGAGCGTCTGCCTGTAATCCAGATGGTGATTAGGTCTAGATCCTCTCAAGCAGCCAATAGTCAAAATCCTTTCCTGTTCTAGTGCCATGAATATACGTAGGGTAAGCCCTTTTCTGTTCTTGTGGCATGAACTTACTGGTATGAAGATATACATATATTTTAAGGGAATATTTCGTTAAGGATATATGTGCCTTTCAGGATTCTGAGCCAATATTGTACCACAGACACTGTAAATGGCTCCACCCCCCCACACCCCCCCAGGACAATAATCCCCTTCAAGAAGGCCCATAACTCGCTTCAGGAGCATCTGCCACACAGAGGTTAAATTAAAGGACTTCTAAGTGATTACAGTCGTCACTGGCACTAACCCTGAGCTTGTCCTACCCACTCCCGCCCAGGCCCACGGCCTCCCTCCATCCCCATGCGGATCCAGACCCGGCTCTTCCACGAACCGCCCCGCGGGCACGAGCGGTCAGAGCGTTCGGCGCGCACTGCGCACGCGCGCTCCGAGGGCCTCCGGGACCGGGTAGCAACGCCGCCACGCGCAGCCGCGCTGGCCAATCAGCGCATCCGGGGGCGGGGCTTTTCCGCGGTGCGCCCCTGGAGGCGGCGGACGACTTCCGGCAATAATCTCCGACGCGTCGCCGTCAGGTGCGGACGGAGGCCGTTGGCGCGTCAGGTGGGGACTGGCGGTGAGCGCGCCAGGTGGTGATGGGGGTTTGTGGTGCGTGAGGTGGGGACGGGGACTGTGGGTACGCCGAGTGGGGACAGAAGCCGTCAGTTGGTGCGTTAGGTGGGGACCAAGGCCGTCCGCTTGTGCACCGCACAGCCTCCTCTCAGCCGACGCCCACCTTCCGGGACCCCTCCTCACAGCAGCCCTCCCAGGCCTTCTCCCCCCAGACCGCGCTTCCATCGGGGCCTGCGACAGCCTCTTGTCTTGACTGCCGCCGTCTCGAAAGTGTTGGTGATTCATCCCCACCCTCGACCCTGGGGCCTCCCGTGGCGTCTGTTCTCCGCCTGTTCCTGCGCCCCGTCCCCCGATGGACACCTGTCTGGGTACGACCCCACTCTCCTCCAGGCCTCTCTGCATCGTCTACTGTTTAATCTTCCTCTTTTTCTGTACTCCTTGTCTGTAGCTCCGGCGCCGTCCCCTTCCTTCAATTGCCTTATTTGCTTATTTTTTTTGCAGCTGATACTTGTGAATTTTGCGTCCTTCTCCTGCCAGTAAGTTCAGTTTTGACCTTTTTTCCTGTTATTTCATCTCTGTCCCTGGGCCTATTCAAACTCATTT